GCCCCAAACGCAACCACTTTTGCATTCTCGGCCTGCCTAAGGTACTCAGACATGACCACAATTCACTGCCATCCTACCGTTTTGAGTCTGGGAGGCGTTTCAGTGTCTCCAAAGCCAGCCTGCCTCACCACCATAAATGGCAGTATCATTGGGCACCTGCCTCAGGTGCGGCAGCAGGAAGCCTCCAGGAGGCTGTATGCCCAACTCCTTCCTCAGATGTCCTTGGACTGGTCAGAGAAGCCACTCTGGAAATGCTGGGCCCAGTTCTCCCCCGTCTATCCTGGACCTTCCCTCTCCACACTGTCCTGGAGGCTGCCAACCACTCGGAGGTCAGGAAATGACACAGATGGCGGTTTGCAGAGATCCCCCACCCCAAAATGTGCTATATCTACTTTAGGAAAGACCCAACCAGTAGCCCATTGACGGCCAGATAGTAAGTGGAGGACCAGGCCGCCAGCAGGCTTTGTGCTCCATCCTGAGAGAACAGCGGCAAGGGCATGGCCATATGTCTGGAGGAGGATGACGGAATGCCGCTTCTGCAGCTCTGGAGGATGAACCCGAGGGCTTGGCCATCCCTGTAGCTGCCGTGAGGAAGTGGTGTGTGAGGACACTGGGGCCTTTAGAGGACTCAGCACCTCTGCTCAGTGAGATTCACTTACGATGGCCATCAGTGCCATCAGCAAAAATAGTGTGCCTATCAGTTGTGGTTCATTTGTGAAGAAGAGCATCCACGCGAGTTAGTTTACAAAGAAAGGGGTTTATTACAGGACACTAACAGCTTCTGGAATCACTGGGGAGGTTGACAAGACAGCCTGAGCTGGGATTTCAGGAATGTTCCCGAGCCCCCTGCTGCAGAGCCTGACCAGCAGGGGAGCCGTGCCTCACCTCATCCTTGATCAGGGCCCCACCCGTTGCTGGTTGGGAAGCTACACCAGCTGCTGGTTTCAGGCATGGTGGTGTTTCCACTTCTGGGAAGCTGCCACTGCCCCTGGCTTCAGATCCGTGCTGCCCTGTGTGGTCTACACTGGCAGAGTGGGAAACCAGGACTCCCACCGTGACTTTTCTTGGCAGCAGGATCAACAGAAGCATGGCCTCTGCTTCAGTGCTGCCTCCTCGTGCCAGTACAGCAGACAGGAAGCACCAGAATTGTATTTGAAATCCCAGCTGCAAAGCAGTAAAGTACGGTGAGAGGCACGTGTCCTGAGAGAGAGCTGGGTATCGGGCCACAGATTGTGTGAAGGTGAATCCCCGGGACAGTGGCCTGGCTGTTGGGGTTTGGGGAGATGATCCCGCACAAGCGGCTCCAGGCCCAACCGTGGATGGGTGCTAGCCAGGCGGGGAGACTCTGATGCATAGGAAAGTCACCTGGGCGACATCACGATGCGGATCCAGGGCCCCACTCTCATACCCTGACTCCATGTGCCTGGGGCAGAACCCTGTTTTCTGCTATCTCCTGTTTCCGTGTTCTTGATAAAATTCTCCAGGGTCCTTTAGGTACATTCTGTTCTCTTTGTTTGATCTTCAGTGTAAGCCTATGAAGCAGCTACAGGAGGTATTCTTCCCTCCTTTCAGAGACAGGGAACATGAGGCCTAGGAAGGTCAGACGTCTTTCTCAGAGTTGCCAGGCTACCGACCACCACCCAGCCCTTGCCACCTGCTGGCAGTCTCAAGCTGTCCACTGCTCTCCTGTCAGCCTGATAGAGAACAGAAACCCAAAAAGGTAGTGCGTATGGTGAGCTAGGAGACCCAGCTCCCAGTTCCAGCCCTGCCGTCACCCCTGTGAGCCTCTGCTTCCACATCTGTGAGATGAGGTGGCTGGAATGAACCTGCAAGCTGCTTTTCTGGCGGCGAGAGCAAGCAGTGCTGTGTGAGCACCATTAGAAGACCAAGGAAAGTGGGGCTGCTGTGGTTGCCACAGGGAAGGATCCAGACCACCCCTTCCCACTCCAGGATATCCTTGTTTGGGGCTCCCAGGGCTTCGGTCCCCAACAGGGGCCCATGAGTCTTTGCTTGAGCCTGCTTACATCACAGCAAACTCTGAGGCTTTCATCTGCTAAGGAAGAGTAGGAGAGGCTGGCTCTCAGAGTTCAGGATGCCGGGGGTTGGGTAGAAGACAGAGGGAGGGGGTGCTGGGTATTTAGGAAACAGAAGGATTGGCTGATTGGCCAGTGGGTCCAGCTTGAGATAAGAGTGTCAGATGTAGTTCCTCATTCTGCCTGTTTCCTAAGTGAAAAATCTTACATCCTGTTCAGCTCAGAGGAGACGTTTGTTTGGGATGACAAACCCATCTTGGAGGGTTGCCACAGGGGAAGCTTCACTCTGCCAGACCTTGGCAGTAAGTGGCCTCCATAAAGTTCCTGCGTCCCCCCCCCCCCCCGCTGTTCAGCAGAACACCGCTGCACACAAGTGTGTGCATGCGTATGTTTGCACACTGCTGCCACATCGCAGCTCCCCTGCCCCTTGTTGGCACATCACAGGCACATGTGGCGGCTGCCAGAACAGGCATGTCCTGGGCCAGCTGACGGAGAGCCTTCTTGATAGGGCCAGAAATACATGGCTCCAAGGAAGAACTCGTGGCATTGCACCGATTCCACTTCCAGCCAGGATTTGAGGAAGTGCTGGACAAGTTTGGTGGAACTGTTTGAGTTCCAGGTGCTCTGCTTGGCTTTTATTCCCCAAAGCTGCTGTGAAGAAGGTGCCATTAGGATCGGTGTGAGTTTGGACACGCTTGCTCTTTGTTTCCTCTTGGTTATTAATGGACACCAGAGGCATTCCATGTGCCTGTGCTAAAATCCTGCCCATCCAGGGGCGGTTGGCTGGCTTAGTCAGTAAGGCATGCAACTCTTGATCTTGGAGTTGAGAATTTGAGCCCCATGTTGAGTGTAGAGATTACTTAAAAATAAAAAAATACCCTAAAGAAAATAAAAATAACATCCTGCCCAACCAAGCATCTCTTGAATAGAGGTATTTACAGATAGCTGCCAACCTTTGTTAGAGCCACTGAGGAAAACTTTGACGCATCTTCTGGAAAAGGCTGGGCTGTTTCCCACGAAGAGGCTGGCAGCAGCCATCTGTGGGAATGGGCCTTCTCAGAATCTGTTTCTTCTTGCTCTGGCTCTGCCTGGTGACGGTTATTGCCTACGGCCAGCCAGAGGAGGCATCGTGCGTTGTTGCTGCCCTTCAAAAGCACGCTCCTGAGGAGGATCGAGGCTAAGCTGGTGAGACCGAGCCAGAGACTGTTTAATTCAGAGTTCATAGTGCAGAGCACAGATGAGCAGGGAAGACCTGGGTGCTCAGACGAGTCTTAGAGGAACCTATCTTAAGGATGGATAGGATTAGAAAGGGGGAGGGAGGGGTACCTGCCTGGCTCAGTCGGTAGAGCAGGCCACTCTTTTTTTTTTTTAATGGTGTTTTTTTTTTTGTTTTTTTTTCTAGGAGAGAGAGAGAGAGACAGCGTGAGCAGGGGAGGGTCAGAGAGAGAGGGAGTCACAGACTGAAACAGGCTCCAGGCTCTGAGCTGTCAGTCAGCACAGAGCCCGACGCAGGGCTCGAACCCACGAACCACGAGATCATGACCTAAGCGAAAGTCGTACGCTTAACCGACTAAGCCACCAAAGCGCCCCATAGAGCAGGCCACTCTTAATCTAGGGGTTGTGAGTTCAAGCCCCACGTTGGGCGTGGAGCCTCCTAAATGGGGGGTGGGGAAGAGGAGGAAACCCAAGATTTAAAGGACTATTAATGGTAGCTGACCTGAAGTACATACAATGGAATATTACTCAGCCTTATCCAGGAAGGGGATTGTGACCCCTGCACTGTGGTTGAACCTGGAGGACACGATGGTGAGTGAAACAAGCCAGGCACAAAAGGCCAAATGCTGTGTGATCTCACTTGAATGAGATGCTTAGAGAAGTCCAGGTCAGAGATAAAAAGCAGAATGGTGGTACCAGTAGGAGCTGGGGTGGGGGCAGTGGGTTGGGGCACTGTTTAATGGGTGCAGTTGTGGTTCTGCAAGAGGATGAAAGTTCTGGAGATGGTGATGGTTGTAGAATGTGAATGTGTTTACTTCGTGCCACTAAGCTGCACACTGTTTAACGCTTAATATGGTCAATTTTATGTGATGCGGGGTGCCTGGGTGGCTTAGTTGGTTAAGTGTCCGACTTTCGCTTAGGTCATGATCTCGCGGTTCGTGGGTTCGGGCCCCGCGTCGGGCTCTGTGCTGACTGCCAGCTCAGAGCCTGGAGCCTGTTTCAGTCTGTGACTCCCACTCTCTCTGACCCTCCCCTGCTCACGCTGTCTCTCTCTCTCTCTCCTAGCAATAAATAAAACATTAAAAAAATTAAAAAAAAATCTTCTTAGTGAAAAAATGAAAATTTTTCACAATATACCTTNTAAATAAAACATAAAAAAAAAAAAAAAAAAAATTTTACGTGATGCATATTTTGCAACAACTAAAAAAAAAAAAGCTAATATTTATCGAGTGCTTGCTGTATGCCAAGCACTACACAGAGCACTTTACTTCTGTAGTTCTCCAAATAGCCATATGAAGCAGGCACTTTTAACTGTTTTCATTTTACAGATGTGGAACCTGATGTTTGGGCTTGCTTAGGTGTCCCACAGCCAGACGACTAGTTAAGGGTGGATTGAACCCACATGTGTGGGTCCGCACCTGATGCTGTAAACGCTGTGCTGTGTGAGTAACAGGCTGAAACACAGGAACTGAAAGAGGGCTCCCCTCCTTCCAGACACAGACTCCTGATTATTGGCTTGAGGCTGGTGTTTTCAGATGTCACTGGGTCCTGTTGTAACAGGGATTTTATGTGCCTCCAGAGGCCATGTCCCATTCAGGCCCCCAGGTTCAGCAGGGCCCTTGCTGTGACCCTCCTGTGAGCTTCCCCATTGCTTGTTGGCGTCAGAAGTTGTGAGGTGGCCATTACTTGTATGTAGTTGCTACTCAGGATGCTTATTTTAAGGAGTGACCCAGGTTGTCTGATGTGTTACAGACCACCGTCATTGACTACGTGAAGCCCTCCGATCTCAAGAAGGACATGAATGAGACCTTCAAGGAGAAATTTCCTCACATTAAATTAACACTCAGCAAAATAAGGAGGTATGTGAAGATCGACATTTACTTGAACTATCCATTCAAACTCTGTCTTGGCATGCATTAAGCTCACAGTTTGTGATGGTTCTTCCTGTAGTTCTGAGGAAATAAAACAGGCACGTTCAGCAAAAAAAGAGGCTCATCCGATGCTGGCTGACTCTCACGTCCTTGACTGAGAGCCAAGGGGAGCAGGACCGATGGCGGAGCTCTTGACGTGTGCTCTGACATGGCTCTGGGGGTAGTTTCCTTAAGGGAAAGAATAAGTTCGTATTATCTGAAGCTCATCAGTTCAGTAAGAGTTACGTTACAGAAAACTCAGAATAGGAAACATACCGTTCCCTGTTTTCTACGAAGTGGACAAAATAGAAAAGGGTAGGCGTCACAGCGTTTGAGGTCATGCTTCTCCCACAGTCGTGCACCCAAGAGTTGACAGCCAAGCCCTACCTTTAAGCCATTAGTAAAACCACCAGAGTGAAATCAGGCCCTTGTCTCCCTACAGCTGATTGGGTTGACTTTGTGGTGACCCACATCTGGGGGGCTGGGGAGTAGCTGGCTGGTGCTGGCTCTGTGTGCCAAACCTTCAGTGCGCATGGTGATGGGGGCTGGAACTCTACGCCAGCACGGGGTTGGAGAATGTGCCAATATTTGCACGCTGTGTCTCCCAACACTGATTTGATTCTGGCATGTTCCAAGCCGGAGACGTGAGAAAAATGAATTTTCACGCTTTGTCCGTTTGCTGGGCCGCGTTCCTAAGCACACTGGCTATTGTGCTATTAACCTTACACCTCTTCTGCTATGGTCTTGAACGTGATCCATACAATACTCAGCAGTTGATACCAAGCACATCATTTGTTTCTAAAAGTGTCTCTGGAATGATCATAGTTCCTTCTCATAGTTTTCCTCTTTCCCTTTGGACAGCTCTACTCCTAGTTTCCAGAGACCCTCAGACACCACCTGGGTTCAGCATGGTCCTCTGTGTCCCTTATTGACACAGTCTGTACCATTCTACCAGCAGCTTGTCTATTGCCCACATGTAATGGAATTTTCTTACTCCTAGGGATTTGGTCCCATTCCACGTCACCATTCTGGGAATGAGAAAAAGGAAATGCTTTCAGGATGGATTAATGTTTTTCTTTGGGGTCCTCTGAAACTCCCAAGTTCTGATAGTCTTCCTTTCTTCCTGTCTTTCTCTAGTCTAAAGCGAGAGATGCGGAAGCTTGCCCAGGAGGACTGCGGCTTTGAGGAGCCCACGGTGGCCATGGCCTTTGTCTATTTTGAGAAGCTCGCCCTCAAGGGAAAGCTAAACAAACAGAACCGGAAGCTTTGTGCCGGAGCGTGTGTACTGTTAGCGGCCAAAATCGGAAGTGACCTCAAAAAACACGAAGTCAAGCATTTAATTGATGTAAGTGACCTGAGTCCTGTTGGCTGAGGGAGCACCTGGGAAGAGCCTGGTCGGTGATCCTGCCCAGAATTCCGATTGTTAGTACTCACTGTGAGACCAGGGCCCTGAGGCCCTCCCACAGAGGATGTCAGGCCCATCTCAGGCTGTGCTAGAACAGAGGGATGCTCCACTCTGACAGGATTCCCCGTATTGGGTCTGGCCATAAAAATCAATTTTCAGACACCATGAGGGGTGAAATTCTTCTCAAAGCCACAGAAGCTGCTGTAATGGGAAGAGGACCCGCAGTATGACCCACAGCGTATCCATCAGACACATTGGCTCAACAGACCTCGGCTTCCTGTGGCCTTAGTTGCCTCGTCTTTGGGGAAGGGCGTGGGCTTGATTAAGTGGTACCTCCTTTTAAAGGAGAACCCCATCAAAGCAAGGAAACCCTGATCTTGGATGGATATGTAAATGCCTATTTTAAGATACAGTGTATTTGTAGAAAATTTTTGATACAGTAAAGCCAACAGATCAAGAGACAGTTGCCATTGAAAAGTCAGCTTATCACAGTTCCCAAGAGAAGTATCTTAGCTCGATCTGCTGTAACAAAATACCCTAGACTGGGCGGCTTAAACATTGGCTTCTTCCAGTTCTGGAGTCCAGGAAGTCCAAGACCAGGCTGCCAGCTGCTTCAGCTCCTGGCGAGAGCCGTCTCCTTGGCTTGTGGATGGCTCCCTCCTTGCGTTGTCCTCACCTGGCAGAGAGAGCAAGCAAGCTGCCTGGTCTCCTCTTACAGGGGCCCTGATTGCGTTGTGAGGCCTCCACGCATCAGCTCCTCCATCTGTCTCAAAGCCCCCCACTTAATACTGTGCTGGAGGATAGGGTGTCAACGTGAAGGGGGGGTAGTGCCGTACCTTGGGGGCCACGTGGGGAAGTATCAGGGTTGGTCAGGAGGCGGAGGGAGAAGGGGGAATTGTGGGCAGAAGCCTTTACTGCAGCTCCCACTGGAAGGAACAGACAAGGCAGCTTAAGCAGGCTCAGGACTGGCTGGCTAGACTCATTCCAGTGGCCTTTAGGGCCTGGGGGCCCTACTTAGCTCCCTGGCCCTGGGTCCTTAGGGCGGTGGATAGAGGCCCAGGGAAGCTTGGGGCGCAGGTCTTGGATCAGTCATTTTGCATATGAAACGTGTGCCCCCAGGCAGCTTGCCCACCCCCTCCTGGAACTGGCTGACGCTGAAAGGGCCATCCCTCCAGGGTCAGCAAGGCCCCAGATGTTAAACATCAGGATACAGAAAACACAAGATGTGCTTAACACAATGCCTTGTATGTCTAGTTGGGCAGCTCTCTCCGTGGCAAAGGAGACAAAGCAGAAAGGGAGCTAATGTAGGTGCTCCCCACATAAGAAAGAACATTCTTTTTTGCTTTAATTTACCATTTTAAGAATGTAAATTGAAGTTTACAGTTCAGTGGCATTGAGTACACTCCTACTGTTGTGTGGGCATCATCACCGTCCAGTTCCAGAACCTTTTCATCTTGCAGAACTGAAACTCTGACCCCATTAAGCAATAACTCCCCACTCCCTCCCCTTCCCAGGCCTTGGCAATCAGCATTCTGCTTTCTGCCTCTCTGAGCTAGTCTGCTCTAGGGACCTCTTGAAAGTGAAATCACACACGGTGTGTCTTTTGTGACTGGCTTGATCTTCTAACTTTAGGTCTTCAAGATTTATCCATTCTGTAACGTGTGTTAGAATTTCCTTCCTTTTTAAGGCTAAATGGTATCCACTGTATGTGTATTCCCCATTTTGTTTATCCATTCAGCCATCAGTGGAAGAAAGAGTGTTCTTTAGGTCCTTGCTTTGCTGCTTCTAAGAAATGGTGCATTAGTATATATATAATTCTATACCCTACAACCACCCTCTAGCTTGTATAGTATATACTTTTAGGAATATGGAGGGGATCTTTGGTTACCAAAAGAGAATCAACAGGTTTACATCGATATTGGCTGAACCAGTCTTGACAAGTGTGCAGTTGTGCACATTGAGTTGTAGCCCAGTAATAGGCCGTACAGCTGATTGTGTGTCCATGCAGGATATACAGGCAGTGGTTTGATGCAGGGTCCTGGCCCCGTCGTCATCAGCGGCCACCAGCGGCTCTGCGGGGGAGATTATTGTTTACCCCACACCTGCGGTTAAGCCAGAGCAGAATGTGCCCTGGTGAAAACAAGGCCTTCTCTGCCCACCCTCCTCCCCTGGTCGTTCTCCATTTATACTCCAGCAGCGCCCACAGCTGGGTGGACCGAGCTCCGCTCCACACCTGACTGTCTGGCATCCTCTGACCTTAGTTCTGTTCCTGCCCCTGCCACCGACAGGACAAAAGATGACAAGTTCTCAGTGTTGGGTCACATGGAAGAGCGTGGAGCACAGTGCTCTGTACCTTTCTGCTGCCCCACTGTGTGTATGTGTGACCTTCGCCCTTTTCCCCCTGTGGAGATGGCTGAGGTTGTACTCCGTGGTGTGTATTCCGGTGCTGGCGGGGAGCCCCTGGGTGCAAGCTAAACACAGCCACATGCTCCAGCTATTCACGTCCACACACTAGGCTGCGGGACACAGTCTCCGCAGGTCTTGGGTCCTCATGTGTGAAAGGACCAAACTACATGGAGTCCACCCACCCAGTCTTGAACTTCGCAGTGGTCGTTACTGTTGCAGATGTTGTGCGATCTTTTTAGTTTTCCCTCTAAGCCTGAATAAGCTACTTGTAACAGGTGAAGTTTGAATCTCAATTGAGTTAGTATCTCAGCATTGCAATTTACTGTCCGTTTCACCTTAGGCCCAACTGTTGACCCTCTTGACCGTATTCTCTTCTCTGTAGACATAAATGTCACATTGACCTTCTAAGATTAGTGAGAGATTAAATGAAGTCGTGGGATGTACTTCAGGCTCCCAGCAGACTGTGGGTCCTCGGGGAGGTTCGATTCTTCCACCAGGACTGAGAGCAGGAAGTACAGCCGAAGCGCCCCCCCCCCGCCCCCATTCTTCCTCCAGTTTACCTGAGATGAGTTTTTCTGTAAATGCTCAAGGGCTGGTGGGTAGAGAGCTTACATGTGGAGAAAGGCTAGGACTTTGATTTCAAAGCTGAAATGCTCTTGGTTTCCTTTAATTCTGTTGCAGAAACTGGAAGAGAAGTTCCGGCTGAACAGACGCGAACTGATTGCCTTCGAATTCCCAGTGTTAGTGGCCTTGGAGTTTGCTCTTCATCTGCCGGAGCACGAGGTCATGCCCCATTACAGACGCCTGGTGCAGAGCTCCTAGCACCGGCCCCACGGAGGGCCAGGGACTGCTTCCTCTGAGCTTGCAGAAGAGCACTTACTACTGGAAATGCAAAAATAGAACTCGACATACCAGCCTTTTTTCCTCTCCACATGTTTTTGCGTAGAAGCAGTACCGGAAACTTTTCAGGGAGTCTTGGTCTGGCTAGCTGGGATGAGCCAGGAGCTGTTTATTACTCAGCAGGGGAAGGGGAGAACCGTGCACAAGATGGCACGGGGCCTTTGGCCTTCCCCCTGGCGAGACTCTGCGGCTGTCCCCTCCCTGCTGTTCCCAGTCACGCGTGGGCCTTGCCAGCATGGTGCAGACCTGGTCCGACTCCGTGAGAAGTTCTAGAGCGGGGGGGGGGGGGGGGGGGGGGGGGGGGGGGGGGGGGGGGGGGGGAAGAGAATTGACAGCAGCTGGGGGAGCACTTTTAAGACATCCCCTCACTGTATCAGAAGAGTGTGCCAATCTATTCTCTCGTATCAGCTCTTGGAAGTGCACTTTCCCCCAGAGCGTATGAATGTGAGAACGTGTGTGTCTGACAGCACGTCAGCCCCAGCACCCAGAGCCGGTGCTGCCCGCTGGAGGCCAGACCTCCCTCCACCTGGGGGTTGCGAGCCAGGCTGACCTTTGGCAGTTAGTTCTAGATCATCTCTGGATGGTAGTCACTCTCTCCACTCCACACCAGACTGTCTGGCATCCCCTGTCCTGAGAAGATGAAGTCGTTTCTGTTACTGCTCCTACCACCAAGGGATAAAGATGACAAGTTCTCGGTGTTGGGTCACGTGGAAAGGCGTGGAGCGCGGTGCTCTGTACCATTCTGCTGCCACACCGTGTGTGTGTGTGTGTGACCATCGCACTTTACCCACTGTGGAGGCAGCTGGGGTTGTGCTCCATGGTGTGTGTTCCTGTACTCTATGTTAGAGTGCATAATAAGCACATTGGTTGTGCTATATATGTACATAAGTGTTTTATAAAAATCCAGAGTAGGGGGAAGAAGCATGATGGGTGTTTTAAGGCTAATGATGGCTGGGACCAACTGCTTTTTGAGCTGCAGTTCAGTCACCTGAGGGGATAGTGACTTACCATCTGCCACATACTCACGGCTGTCTGTGCCGAATTGGAACTGTAGCTTGTCCGGACTGGCTGGGATGATGTCCCCACACCAGCCCCTCGCAGCCACGAGAGAGGGGTGCCTGTTGGGAGTCTACCTGCCTGAAGAAAGCCCGTGGCCGTGTAAAAAGAATTAAAATATTTTGTTTCTACATACTTGTGTGTACGTGTAGATACAGACCCATCACCGGTCACCCATTGCGCCACCCCTACCCAGAATAGGAGCACCTCATGACGCCCCAGAGAAAGGGTGACGGGAACACTGAGCGTGCACGGCTTTGGTTAGCAGAGCCGAAAGACTCGACACCCAGGACAGAGGAATTCAAGAAACAACTGGGGAGAGGACAGATCGAATACCCCCCTACTCTGGAGTCCTAGATTTAATTGAATGTAGTACTAAATACTTTGCCAATGCCTTTCCTTGGCAGCCTTCAGGTGTGAGACAGTTGAGGGCTGTGATGAACGCGATCTCTAGGTACACGTGTAAGGGGCACCCACTGCTTATGAAGCAAATTGGGAACAAAGCAGAGAGTGGAGCATCTCTGTCACCTGAAGGAAACATGCTCTTGACCTTCCTCTCTCGGTGGCGGTCACTTGCTCTCTGATGAGCCACCCCAGGCTCTCCGCCTGCTCGGCTCCCTGGGGAGCACCTGGCAGATGGAAAGCCTTTCTGCGGAGCGAGGCCAGTGGCAGCTAAGCTTGCCCGTGGAGCTCCCCACTGTCCATCTGCCTTGAATCTCCTGCCAGACTCAGGAGGACATCTGATAGGTGACACATGCCACCAGGGTCCTTCCTGTGTCTTAAAATCGGGCTAGGATTTTTGAATGGGGGGCTGTTTGGTTTTTAGCAAAATTAGCAAGCTGAGCAACTTCTGTTGTTGGTCCGTGTTTTTTTAAAAGACACAAACTGTTTTGGCCTGTGTATTTGCTGAGTGGGGAGTTTGAATTTGGTTTTAATTTAGTTGGTAGGGGGCCTAAGAAGAAAGATTTTTGCCAAGACACTTTTTGCCCTTCCTTAACCTGAGCTTTCTGAAGGTAGAGGAGGATGAGACCGGGGTAAGCGACGGACTGCAGAGCTGCCCCCGTAATCTGGCACATCCCAGGGCTTTGACAAGGAGCCTGAGCCTGTGTGGAGAGGAGGCCACTCCACAGACTGTTCTAGGTGACCTTGAGGCTCTGCCCCTTCACCCTCCACAGCAAGGGACAGGTTTAGCCCCTTGCCAGCCCTGCTTCCTCGGACCTGCTCTGAAGCCTCCCAGCTCTCCCCAAGCATGATGTGTGGAGGGAGGCCACACTAGCTGCTCTGACTGGCACGGTTCCCCCAGGTGGCCTCTCCGCAGGCCTGACTGTTAGGTAAGAGATGGATACCAACCGGGCGGACAGGCCAGTGCAGCAATCTGGGGTCTGCCTCCCAGAGCAGCTGCCCCAGGGAGCCTGAGCCAGCCCGGTGACCGCAGAGGTCACTGCTTCCCCTCCGTTTCCCCCAGTCAAACCTAGATGGACACAGGAAACATACCAAATGCAAAGCTGATTGTTACGTGGGTTTTTCCATGTTTTTAAACTGAACTCCCCCCCACCCCTAACTACAGTTTCTGTGGTTTTTATCCAGCAGGCCCATTTTGGGGTGGTCCCTTACTGCACATAACCACTCCGCACCAGAGCCCCTTCCTACCCTCCCAATGTGGGAGCAGGTGACTGGATATCCCTTCCCACCTCCTTGTTAACCAATCTGTCCTGTCCCCTTCTTGCCTGACAGCAAGCAATAAAACTGCTTACAGCCCCTGCTGATGAATTGTTTCAGACATCTCTGGTTCAGGGCGGCAGGCCTCTCCCTCTGGCCACCTCCACAACTCAGAGCCTAAAGCCACCTCCCCACCCCCCACCCCCCAACTTGCAATCAATCGGTTGGAGAACATTTGAGCCAGGTAGTTTTTTTTACCTGTTAATCATGTCCAGTGATGGGAGTGGTTTAGGAGGGGAGCATCCCAGGGGTAGTCTGAGTTTCTCTTCTGGAGGCTGTCAGGGCTGTTAAGGACCACGCTGGCCAGGTCACAGCAGGGCCAGGTTGGAGAGCGCTGACAGCTGGGGAAGGGAGGAAACATCAAGACTATAAATCCGGAGTCACATGTCGTTAACACTGAGAACCGGTGAAAGAAACGATCTTACTGCCAAAGGACCTCCCTGCAGAATGCTAGAGTGCTAGCTCAGAGCCCCCATCCCATAAAGGAACACTCAGACCTGTAAATAGATATTCCAGAAAGTCTGCAAACCCAGGGCTGGTTGAAGCATGCAAACATGCCTGGAGAGGATGGTGTTTGCCTGTACGCCATTGTCACTACCGCCCTGCTACTCAAAAGAGTGGCCCAAGGACCACAGCATCCGCATCACCTGGGGGCTTGTTACAAATGCAGAATCTGCATCTCCACAAGATTTTGTGAAAATCCGTATAAAGTCTTAGAGACACTGTTCCTCCAAATGAGCACAGAAAACAAAATTTTTGTCTAAAAAAAATAACCACCTATCCTACAGAGTTATCTAAGATAAAAAAAAAAAAAAAAAGGCAGAGATGCTGGGGATGGTTAATACAACAACAGTAACCAAAACAGCAGCAGTCTCTCACCGAAAGGTAATTTTAACATTGGATTCCCTAAGCCACTGCCTCTAACATTTTCTGGATGCACATGGCCAGACAGATTTCTATTGGACTGAGCAACAGCTCACCTACTGTGAATCAGAGCTGGCTCATAGGAGAGTGCCTCATCTAATGCTGACTGGTGTCACTGCTTAGATAAGGCCTATGTCACAGGTTCTCGGGCCCATGGGTGAAGAGTTTGGAGTAAAGGCAACTCCCCAGGGCTGCTGCAGGTGCTGGAGCAGGAATCCCCTCAAGTGTGGCTGAGGGCTGGATGGTCATGACCTTGGGGACATCATAGATGAGCACACCACCATTTTGCTTTTTCATTAGGATCCACCTACCATTTTTAAATGTCGTACATTGGGTTCTGTGGGTGACAACAGGACCCCAAGAGCCTGCCCCAGAGGGGCTTCCAGAGATTGAGGAAGGACTCCCAGGAGTGGGTAGAAAGCACCTCTACCCAGTGCCATGATTCTAACCTCCAGAGGGAGCCCTGAATGCAGACGTTCAAAAAAGAAGCTCCGGGGCAGGCCTGGAATGTAGGAGTCCAAGGCAGCAGGTTGGTAATTGCTGCTCAGGAGTCAGCCTGGCACCCGGATGACAAGGCAGGCCAAGTTAGAGCCATTCTTTGGTCCTAGGAGTGGAGCCCAAAAACACAGGCAGGATGAAATCAGGGACTCCTTACCAGGGCACCTGTATGGGCTGATGAGAAGCCATGAACTGTGATAGGCAGTTGGACATTGGACACTGTTGGCTGGTGGGGCAGAGCCGGAGAGGACTTCCTACCCTCCACGTGGACACCGCGTGCCAGACCTGTGCTGGCACTTACAACACATTGTTCTTATTTAACCCTTAAACAAACTATAAAATTAGGGATCACGCTCCCATTTCACCGACGGAGAAGCAGGCTCTGAAAATTACACTCCCAGGAGCACATAGTTATGAAATGGTAAAGGCAGGATTCAAATCCAGGTCTGTCTCATTCCAAAGCCCAACCAGCTGTGCTGCCTCAAGCGGGGTCAAAATGGAGAAGCTAAGACAGTGGAAGGCCCCCTTGGCCTGCGGCCCTGATGGCCCCTCCGGGGAGGTGGGGCCTCCTCCCCATCCGCAGCAGCCACCAGCCCTTTCTGTGCAGGAAGAAGGGATCTGGAGCTGCTAACCCCAGAGCACTGTCCTCTGGGATACGAGCAGCCTTCACAGCTGATGTGGGACACACTTCTGGGCCCTGGGAGAACAGGGGTTGTTTAGAAAACACGCTTCTGCAACAGGGGAGCAGAGGGGCTCGTGCATCTAAGTGGAAGGTCACAGTGTAACATGCTAGCATCGGCAGCCACCAACATTCAGCCACTTT